GATTGTGAAACAACAAATATTTTAAGAGACAGGATTGAAAATTTTACCAATATGTGAGAGCAAACAACAAAACATGTACGCATAAAAGAAGTTCAATAAGCTGCAGTGTGATAATGAAATAAAAAATAGCCAGATACATCATAATCAAAGTACTGAACACTAAAGATAAAAAAATGATAATTTTAAAGAGAGCCAGAGAAAATAAAGACATAGAATAAAATTGATGGCAAAGAGGAATAACTGAATTCCCATAAAACAATGGAAGCCATAAGATAATGAAAATAAATCTTTAACAATTAAAAAAAAACTCAACTTAGAAGTCTATTTCCTGTGAAAATACATTTCAAAAACAAAGATAAACTAAATGACAGAAAAAATCTTTAAAAATTTATCTCCTGTAAAATTACACTGAAAAAAGTGTTCAAAACAATTTTAGAGACTGAAACAGAATAATATGAAGAATGATGGAGACAATAAATTATTAAATGCATGAAACTCAAAATTCCTATGTACATAGTAATATATCATTAAGTTTTCTAATGTAAAAAAATAATAATAAAAACAAGACCTCTGGGAGTCATGGCCAGTGAAATAACCATTGAGCAGGTTGAAAGCTGTGGCCTCACAGGCCATGGTGATTTGAGGATGAGTCCTCAGTCCAAACTAAATAAGACAAAGGAATAAAAGAAGGAAGTCCTTTTGAAAGTACGGAGAATGAATAGATTTGAAAGTAGAATTGATTAGAGAAAGATCTGAAAACCACTTTGTGATAATCAACAAATGAACCAGGGATATTTTGCTATCAGTCTTTTGAGAATGCTCAGAAGATTGATGCTAATTGCTTGTCATCCTAGAAAAGAAGTACAGTAAAATGTGAATATAAAATGATTAAAAAGGTTCCCAGTCACTGATGACTTTTGAAGTTATTATGATGCAAGCCAACAGTTTCTGAATTGTATGAAAATAAGGCATTCCTTTTAGAATTGCAGGGTATTTTTGATAGAGAGGAGATATGTATTAAAGTTGAAGATAAGAAAATAAAGTCTGTATGTCAATGAAGGCTGAATAGCATTCCTTCTCAGGACAGGATCACAGACTAGAAAATGCCACATTAAATATTTTTTCCGAAAGCAAAGAGTATTGAGGATGACAATATAGGTATCCTGTTTATTGTATTACTAAGTAATCTGTAACATTTCACTAAAACATAGAACTGGTTAACCAACTGGAAAAGGATCATGCAGAAATTCTGTATTTCTCATAAGCATCTATAGCTATTCGTTTTCCTCTAGGCACTGCCTGAGCTGCATCTTACAAATTTGCTTTAAACCACATCAGAGACTTCACTGAAAACCAACATTAACAAATCAACAAACCACAGGTGCTGGCAAGGGTGTGGGGGAAAGGGAACCCCAGTTCATCATTGGTGGCAATACAGACTGGTGCAACCACTGTGGATGGAATTTCCTCAAAAACCTAAAGATGAAACTGCCTTCTGATCCAGTGATCTCAATGCTGGGATTATACTCTAAGAATCCTGAAACACCAATTCAAAAGAACTTATGCACCTCCATGTTCATAGCAGTGTTATTTACATAGCCAAGTGCTGAAAGCAACCTAAGTGTCCTTCAGTAAATGTGTGGATAAAAAAACTATTGTACATTTACATGATGGAATACTACAGAGCAGAAAGAAAGAATGAGCTACTACTCTTTGTCCTAGCATGGATGGATCTGGAGAGCATTATAAGTCAAATAAGTCAGGCAGTGAAAGACAAATACCATATGATATCACCTATAAGTGAAATCTAATGAACAAAAGAAACAAATGAGGAAAGTAGAACCAGAGACATCGAAAATAAGGAGCAAACTGACAGTGACCAGAGGGGAGGAGGGAGAAGGATACCAGGGAAAAGAGAGGGAAGTGTCCAGTCAAGGAACATGTACAAAGTACCCATGACAATGAACCACAGGGTGGGGATTGCCTGTTGGGGGGGGGCGGGTAACGGGGGGAAATTGGGACAGCTATAATTGAACAAAAATTATATAAAAAAGAAAATAACAGACAGTGGGCTAGAAAGGGCATCTTACTTACTCACGAGAGAGCGGCTGGTGTGTGCTGTGGCCCCCGGTGGGGAGCTGGAGCGAGAGCAGTTGCCCTGGAAGGTGCGAGCAGAGCTTGAGACCACTTTGGAGAAGCAGCACAAGGGCAGTGATCGCCTCGGTGGCCCCGCACGCCTAGTTTCCTTCCGCCTGATTGGGGATCTGCACCAGTACCCGAGAGAAAGGGATGCCACACTGTACCTTCACACACTCCTAGAAGGCAGTGAAATCTATCTCCCAGAGGTGGTGAAGCCTCCTAGGAACCCAGAGCTAGTTGCCCGTGTGGAGAAAATTAAGATACAGTTGGCCAATGAGGAATATAAGCAGATCACCCGCAATGTAACCTGTCAGGATTTAAGGCATGGTGGGATTCTGAGTGACCTGGGCAAGGAAGTGAGGTCAGTGAAGGCTCTGGTCATCACCATCTTCAACTTCATTGTCACGGTGGCGTCTGCCTTCGTCTGCACTTACCTTGGAAGCCAGTATGTCTTCACAGAAAGGGCCTTGCGGATACTGGCTACATTGATCGTCACCTCTGTGGTGGGTCTGGCCGAGCTGTACGTCATGGTGCGGGCGAAGAAAGGCGAGTTGGGAGAGATATAACTGGTATTTCATCATCAAAGTCTGGAGATGGTTTGGAGGGGCTCCAGGCTCCCAGCTGGCCATCACTGACTCTCAGTCAACCCATCAGGTTCCTTGTACTTGACTGGTTAGTCAGGGCCAAGCTCTGGCTACCTAGTGTTTCGGTGGGGAGCCCCATCATCTGTCAGTTGCCAGAGGGGACAGTAGAGGAGACTCAGCCAACAACTGAAAAAACTGGTCTGTCAGTACCTCCTCTTGGTCTGCCTTCTCCAGTCCATTCGGGGTACTGCTGGCGCTGGGGTTTTCCCTCTGGAGTAAATAGAACACAGGCCTTCCCAGCAGCAGATCACACTGCCTGAACTTGCCCAAGTGCACAAATCAGTCGTCATCCTTGCTCCACATCCTTGATGCTGACCTACAACTTAGCTCTGAAACTTCCAAGAAAGCAAAAAGGATTTCCTTTCTCCAGGTTATGCTGGAAGAAGTACTGATCAGAGGACACCAAATAAGAGAAAGATGAGGGGTACAGGATGGTGGGATTGGGAGTATGGCAGCTACCTTTTTGTAATCTTAGTTCCTATCTTCATCCTCTTCCTTCTGCTTGCCTTTTTCAGGTTTTCTATGTGCTTCTGCCTGTCTCTACCACCCACCAGCCCTCCCTTAACTTCCCACCTTGTCTCCTTTGCTCTGCCTCTCAAAATGAAAACAATCTTGGCCCTAGCTGGTGTGGTTCAGTGGATTGAGTGCCAGCCTGTAAACCTAAGTGTCACCAGTTCAATTCCCAGTCAGGGCACATGCCTGGGTTGCAGACCAGGTCCCTGGTTAGGGGTGTGTGAGAGGCATGCAACCAATTGATATGTCTCTCCTCCCACCTCTCTTTCTTTCTCCCTTCCCCTTTCTCTAAAAGTAAATAAAATATCTAAGAAAAAAAAAAAACAATTTAGATGGCGAAACAGTGTATCTGCTTGTAATTGCTAAATCCCTTGTACTTGTGTTTGTAGGGAGAGTGCACCTACTGTGGACTGTCTCAACTAGTAAAGGGAGGGACAGGGACAATTTTCAGACTTAACTGTATGTATGAATATGAATAAACATGCACATGAATATGTATACATTTTTATATATAAGCCTAACATAGGATGTTTAATATGGGTTCGTAAACATGTTTGGGTATGTTTGAAAAATAGCATGTAAATGTTCACAGTTGACTCATTGTTTTACGTGGTTGCTTTTGGTCTTTCCAATAACCCTGGAGTTTGGAAAAGGAAGTGCCTTAGATCCCTTTTCTAGAAGACAGAACTGAGGCAGAGAGAGAGATCAAATGGCCCTCTGTGGTCCTCCCTCTGTTAAATCGAGCCAAAGACTCCTGAGTGGTCCAGAAGTCTCTGTGTGATGTTAAATTTCTAAAACTTAGATTGGTGGTGTGATGACAGAATCTGTATAAGGCACTTAGAAAATATCAGCATCAGTTATTTATCCAATAAATATGTATTGTAAAAGAATGAAAATAACAAGAATATTAAAGGGGCCCTCCCATTTCCTGGTAGTTCTAGTATTGTTAGGTGAACTACTTACTTTGGAAAAGGCAGATTTGCAAAATACTTCAGTCGTTAGAGTCTCCATAAAGAGCTGAGTGTTTTAGAGAACTTCCATAATTTTAATAGAATAAGTAGAAATTTGCACAGAAATAATGGCAGTAAGTGAACGTGCTGGACAAAATGGGGTAAAGAAAGGTCAGATTAACAGGATATTTGGTCCAAGTGCTATTTTATGGTTTCCTGATGAGAAAAAATTTCTAAAATTAAGTACAATATAGTAAAATAAAATAAGACTGCAGCTGTTTTCCTGGAATTCAGTATACTTTTCCAAAACATGACTAAGAGAAAAAATAAGCTTTTTGATTAGTAATCAATAAATATAAGGTATAATGGCTAGATAACTAAGAATTTAATAGTCTATATTAGTGAGAATATTGTTCTTTGCTGCCCTTAAATGAAGAAACATTTAAGTCAAGAATCTAAGAAGGACATTCCATAAGCTTAAAATTATCAGTTAATTAAAAAGACATAATATTAATGTGTATGTAAAACAATAAAACTCCCAAATATATGATTAAAGGAATCTAGAAAAAGAATATAAACTTATAGTAACATAAAAAAGAAAATCAAAATAATGCTGCATAAATCAATGAAATAGAAGGCAAAAAAGAGACTAATAAATGAAAGAATCAATAAAGTAAAAATGCTGTTTCTTCATAAAAATTAATAAAATTCATGACCCCATAGCTGAATGATATAAAAAGTAAAAGAAAAACACAGATTGCTAATGTCAGGACACCACTACATATCTTATAGATATTAAAATATTAACCAGGGCATATTTTGAAGAACTCTTTGGAAAAGTATGTTAGAAGACACATACAACCAACACTTACCCAAGGAGAATGGACAACATAAATACTCTATGTATATTTAAAGATTTAATTTATAAACAACTTCCCACCATATAACACC